CAAAACGGACGCCATGTGTAGATGGGATGTGGCTGCAGCCAAGCAAACGTTGACGATGCTTTTGAGTGCATCCGTGAACAAGACCCCCATGCAAGGACCCAAGTGCAGCTTTCATATGCTCTTTTTGGCGACAAGATGCAAGCCCCCTGACATGATCCTGTTCGTTTGAACCACCAAAAAGATCCTTGCGCCCGCGTTGGACCGCTGTAGATCATTCAGGCGGGACGAAGCCAGGGTTGGTCCCTCGGCGCTTCGGCTGCATCTCATCAGCCACGCGGGGATTTTCTCATTTCTGGTTGTCGAACGGCACTGCCGCTTTGGGCCTGGTCACCGTGGGGTCAACAGGGAGGTGTGAAGACCTTGTCGTGAGATGGAGGGATCGGTCGGCCGCTTGTCATGTTGGTTGAGACAGCGGTGCTGCAAATAACGGTAGATGATAGCGGCATGCTTCAATAGATGGATCCTCACGAAGCATGCGGCTTCTTTGTCACCGGGGCGCAGGCAGGCTTTGTGCTTCGTATTAGGTGCAGCCAGCACTCATCGTGATGATCGGATCCACTCCACCCACCGCGACGTTGAAGGGAATACCGGCGTGCTATAATAGGCTTCGACCTAGTCTATAGATGCGCTATTTGCAGTGCTAGACGATGGCGCGAGCGGAATGACATGCCAGCTACGTGAACGCGCGTATCGCCAGACGGGCACACTGTGCCCGGTGTTGAGTGCCGGGTGCGATGCGCAGTGTTTGTATCAACAGACCGGTCGCTCGGTTGTTCACGCCCGACAGGCGACGTTAGCCACGGTGCGCATGGTTTCAAGGCGTGCGCAGGTGGAGCACGACGCTGGCAAAAGGTTAAAGTGCTTTTCCTCGGCGGTGCCTAAGAGAGCAAGGGTGCAAGACTCGACACAACCTCATGTACGGGGGCCCTTTAGGCGTAACCCGTCGTGGCGGCACATGTACCCAGGCCGGGGGGTCGACCGATGGACGGCGGCTTCTTGCGTCCGGTGTGCTCAGGCTACAGAACAGTAGTCAGTAGCGACAGTACCGTAGTCAGTATAGAGGACTAGAGGATGCAAGGCTGATGACATGCCGATGCTCAGCGCTGATTGCTCCAATCTCCGCGAGTGGCTCGCCGTTGGCTGTGTGACCTCGGCCAGCGATGCATGTCTGATGCTGCATGCCTCTGCAAAGTCCCATGTCATCGACTCGCCCGTCCCCGTTACAGGCGGCAGGGGTGGACTAGCTGCATGCCGATTTCTGGAAGACGCTCGGCTAGGGGCAGGCCAATGGACAGCCCGGAGGCGCGCCCACCCCAGATCGCGCTTGGATACCGTGGGCCAGCAGTGTGGTTTGCCGGCTGCACGCGCGACCACGCAGGAGGTGCTGGGTGCGGGTATGGTGGACCGATTGCAGTGCGCGGGCGGTGCTGATTGGCTTATGTCACTAGCGCGAAGGGCTGCTGTGAAGGAGTAGGCGTAGCGCAGCAGGACCCAACCTCGCTCCGCTTCTTCCAACCCTTTCCGAAACTACTGCGCCAACCAAAGTTTGACCCCCCATCCGCCCCTGATCTCGCGATGCTGCTGGCGCCGACACGGATCGTTGCTGGATAATGCACTTCGTCCTGCAGGCCTCCCACACACGACGCCCCATGTCGCCCATGGAGTATCGCCGGCCGCCTTCCACTAATCATGCCATGCGCAGGCGCGGCTAAAACATGACGCTCCTCTTCCCTAGCTGACCGCCTGGAGGGCCACCGCCCCATGCACACGACACTCTCCCCGGCGTGGAGCCCAGCTGAGTCGCACTGCACCGCTCGACAGGGCCTAGTCGCACTACCGCTTTCTGCCATCATCGTTGCGGGCGCTGTGGTTCCCTGGCCTGCCTTCTCCATGAGCCGGCCGTCGTCTAGCTGCACGGATGCTCCGTTGCGCGTTGCGCCATGATACATGGTACGCCGCCCTCGTCTACCTTCCCTGTCGTGTGATTTGGTCATTCCAAGTCTTCCTTTTCGCTCCACGCACTATGCCTTTCGTTGATCGTTCCAGCCGTGCCACTGGCCCTAGTCGTCACAGCGCACCTCACCGAGCCATCCCTTGGTGGCTCCGTATAGTCAATACACTCCCGTTCCTTGTCTGCACCTATTCCACTATTAGCTGTTCTTGAGTTTCGCTAGCCTGGCCCTGGCCGTCCTTGTACCATGACTCCGGCCGCGAGGTTACTCTACCTCAATTTCCCCATCCACCCTTCCTGATCTGTCTATATCTCTTGGCACCCCATATACCTATGCAGATGCCCCCCAACCCAGCACGCTTCCAGGTCAGACAAGACTGATTGTCACCGACACAACCGCCTGCCACATACAAACCGCTGAGACATTCCGCCTCTCTCCTGTATATCATCACTGCCTTCCCACACTACGACTTGACTACACCACCACTTGCCCACCATGTCCGGCCACATGCAAACCTCAACGCTCCACCGGCGTACCTCTCGCAGCTCAGGCAGCCAATCAGTATGCCGATCATCTCGCGTTGAAAAGACAAAGAGCCACCACAACAGCCCAAAGAGCATGGAGAGGAGAAAGACTACCACCGAGACCAAGCTCTACGCTTCGTTGGACGACCACTACAGAATGATGTTCGGTGTACCAGCCGAGGAAACCGAAGACCGTCCCCAACCAAGCAGACCTGTGAGCTGGCACCCATCGTCTGCACAGTTCCAGGCTTCACAACAAACCAACTACTTCGAGCCCATGCCTCAACAACACTGGTCACAACACTACTCTCCCTCATCCCGCGACTCTCAACACGGCTCTGACTTCTACTCTCTGTCCACACGTAACTCCATGTTCGAGCCCATGACCAGCACCCCGACGTACACCAACACCCAGTCCGAGAGCGGCTGGCAAAGCGTCCAGCCCACCCCCGGCTATGTCCACTCTTCTCTCAACACTCCCTCGACCGAGCCTCTGCCATGGTACCTACAGCAATGGGCTCAAAAGAACCAGGCTCAAGCATCTACCGACTTCCTGCCCATTCAACACCCTGCTCAGCAAGACCAAGATATGGAAGACGACGATGGCGAGAAGCTAGTCGCACTGGGTCTCTACGATGCACCAGAGCCCTCATTGAGCTGGGGTGCCCTCAACAACGAAGGAACTGGAAAGGGTCTCAAGCTCGAGGAGACTTGGCAGCCACCTGAGGCTGACGAGGAAGAGGAAGAAGACGACGATGCCAGCTCTGAAGCCAGCGTCGAGGAGCCATCGCCGCCTCTGCCGGCACAACAGGCACAGCACCTGCCCGTTCATGTCAAAGCTCAAACACCAAACAACATGGAAGGACAGAGCTTCTTCTTCGACGAAGACGAGTCGGTAACAAAGGAGTGGTGGTTTCACCAAATGAAGCAGCCCACCATGCCGGTGCGGGACGCCGGGCTGGGATATGGCTGGTTGTAATCTAGATGTCTGTTTCAAACGTGCGACCACGACAGAGGTCCACTGTCCTATCTTCGAGGCGAGCATTTTTTCGAGGCGAGTTCTTCAGCACAGCGCGGCGTTTTGCATGGTTCCGCTTGGGACCGGAAAAGAGACTTAGAGATACCCTGCCTTTAGCGGCAATAGAGTGAGGCTTTGCATCGCTCACTATGAGGTCAGATGAAGATGATGTATTAGATAGCATCATCAACCAAATCAACCATACCACACCATACTTTGGCCCAATATGCAGTGCTGACGAGTCTACTCTATGATGCTTGTGAACACATAGTGCCCAAGAAGCCTGGCAGTGAGCCGTTGACGAGAAAGGAAGGTGCACCCCATCGCGCACCTGGCCTGCCCCAGAACTCACAGGATGCCGTAACACGATGCATCCTCGTCCTCCACAACCCACAAGCTTCTTCAACGCTTCTAGCCTTTTCGCTCAACCGTGGTCCCAACGCACTCTCGTCTCGGCGCAAGCCGCCATGTACCAGCCCTTAGTGCACCAAACACATTGCATTCCAAGGCGACCAGCACAAGACACACCAACATCATATGTCGGCGACATGCCGCCGTCCTCCGGTCCTAGTCTGACGCAACAGGGCCAGCGCGCAATTGTGTCACAACGCCCGGCAAAGGACCGAAGACCGATAAAATAACAGAGTAGCATCAGCCTCACAAAGTGGCATGATTGATGGGCGCAAACACGCACACGCCATGTCGGAGTGACGCAGACACCTCTACGGTCCGACCGATCGTTACGCCGTCAGACGGAGCGAGCCACGCCAGCCCTGCGCGGCAGAAGGCTATGGATGCTGCACCATCGTCCTGGTCTCTGCACTCTTTTTCTGCTCAGCTCCGCCCAACTTCGGCCAGACCCGCTTGAGTTGCCCTGACCGAACATCTGAGCTCCTCCGGGCGTCTAGTGCCGAAGTTTACCAGCTAACCGAGCAGCAGGATGTGCCACGCTGCCTGCTCCCTCCTGTCATGGTCGTCACCGGAGACTAAGCAAGTAGCGCGAAGTTAAGAGTTCAGACAACAGAGGTTCCAGAAGTTGGGGTGCGTGGCTTGTGAGATTGAGTTTGCGATTGAGATGGGGGAAGGGAAAAAAACACTTCCAAGGTTTTGCCGGGTGGCTTTGCGTCATTGGCTCGATGCTAATTCCCATGGATGGGACTTTTAGCGCTTATCGATAGGGCGAGCAATCTGGAACGACTGAGGAAATTTCCAACGCGAATTCACGTGCCTTCACCTGCGACGTTACATGCCCAGGTGCTGAGCTAGCCAATAGCAGAGTTTGAAACTTTCGCACTGCAGAAACGCGTCAATCTGCGCGACTGCGACTAAGAATATGGAATCGCATACCCGGTTTGTTGTTACGGCGTGGCGTGATAGTCGCGAGCTGCTTCAGCTGCGCCAGGACCTGTATAGTCCTGAGACTAGTAGGAGAGAGAAGGCGGTGAACAAGGTACGCTGGAAGAAATCAACATACTCTGCAGGAGAGTCGACAGCCACAGTGTGCTGATGACAGGTAGGTCTTTGCTTGGCGACTACGGAAACCTGATGGCTTGCCATTGCTGCTGGACTCGACGGCGGATATCGTCGATGTAGTGCTTCAAGATGCAAGAGGCGAGTTGCAACATAATGCACTGCGGTTGTTGTATGCGACTGCGATATCGAGGTAGGTTTGTTCGAAGTTGAGATTCATGAACATCTCCGCAGCTTTCCTACATCCTCTGCATAGGATTCATTCACTATGGCTTTGCAGCACCATTCTTTCCCATTACTATCAATACTCCTCGTCCATTTCTACCAAATCATCTTCCATAACAGCCTATCGATCATGTTTTCATACTTGCCTAACCACAACGTCATTCTAAAATCATAAGAACCCCCCCATCTAACACCACCCCCAGATTCATAACCGGCCTGGCAGACACGCAAATCGACCTAACCCGTGACCGACCCTCCTGGTTCCCTCCCGGCAAATCCCTCCAACTCCCCCTCACCCTCCTAGAAACCCGTCACCGAATCGTCCACCGACACCTCCCTTCCCTCGCCGAGCTAAAGCGCGCAGCCACCGAGTCCCTCTCCTGGCTCTGGGAATGGTACTGGCTCCAACTCGACCATGCCTTCAAGACAGGTGGTAGCCTTGCACCCGCAACAGAAGAAGAGGAAGAACTAGGCGTCCAAAGCCGAGAAGCCGTCCGCGAAAAACTCCAAAGCATACTAAAAACCTACGTCAAAGAACGCAAGTCCGAGATCAAGAACAGAAAGAAGGACAATAATAGTAAGGCTGCTGAAACAGCGTTGTCGACGTATACCCTACGTTACGCACCCACTGCTACAACCACACCTTCGACACAGACCCAGCGCGTACTTCTACACTTGTTAGTCGACGAGAAAATGATTCTACCCACAGACAAAAAACTAGGCAGTACCATGTCCGGCGCCTTCATCATCTGGACACCCCTCTTACGTGCATTCTGCCTCGACGGCGGCGTGCTGCACATCAAGACGCTAGTCGAGCATCTCATGCGTGCTATGAACGCTACTTCCTCCGCTGCGCGCGCAATGATGAATCCGGAGATGGATCCTGTGAGGGAGGGGCTGCAGGACTGGATTGTCCATGTTCTTACGGAGGAGGGGTGGGCGGGTGTACGAGGGGGAGGCGCGGTGGAGAGGAAGGTTGTGGAGGAGGTGCTTGGGGTGTGTTTTTCTGAACCGTCGTTTTGGAATTTGAAGGTGGCGGAGAAGGTGCTGGATGCTGCAAGGGACGTTGTGGATGAGAAGTTGTGGCGTAAGGTGCTGGACGCTGCGAGGGCGGAGGGAGCGGGGGGTGAGGAGATGGATGTTGACGTCGATGTCGAGGAGATTGAGAAAGCTTTGCCGGTTAGAAAGAATGAGGGCAAGGATGGGGTGGTCAAGGAGAAGATCAAGGGGCCGACTAAGGTGTTGGGGATGTGGAAACCGAGACCGATTGGATGGCTACCTGAGGGGTGGGAGGATGATGAATAAAGTGGGATTGCTCTGGACGTACGAGACTTTATAGACATCCCTCGTTGTCACGTCAGGGACCCAAGTCGGAGGAGTATTAGATGTACGGGATATTCTCAGATTCTAACATCTCAGTAGCCATTTACCAGCTGGTGTTGGTATCTATTCAACTCTCTCTCTCTGTGTATGTGTCCTTCGTTTTGTATCCGAAACGCTTCGCTTCGTTCTCGGTATATCCTTACTCTTCGTAGGTATCTGCACCGTCTCGTCAAGTTGCGTATGGTATGTCGGACACCGCGAGGTTGTAGGTGATGCACGCAGATTTAGCCCCCAGTCCTCACAAGCAGCCCTTCTCATATCTTCTCCTTGGCGTCTGAAACGCCTATCCGGTTTTCTACCAAGCGCATGAGCTTGATCGTTTGTTCGGCGAGCGTAAGGGTCAGAATCTATGTCAATGTTAGCGACCGAGTCCCACCTATTACATCTGTCTGACATACCGTATGGGGCAGAATGCGCGCCAGATGGGCAAAGTAGCCCTTGTACAGCGCAAAGATACCCTCCGTCTTGACCGTCCGACTCAAGCAGTCAAAAGCCGATGTGTACAGGTTGCCCGTCTGGTTGTACATGCGCGACATGATGGTATCCGGAGGGTGCATGACACAGCAAACGACAAAGCCACTGGCCGTACTACTCGCAATGTGCAGCGGCATGCCCTCTTCCATACCCAGATGTTTCACTAACCGCCTCTTTGCGAAGAAATACGTGGGAAGTTGTACGGAGCTGCCGAAACCTGTGCGTACCATAGCTGGTCCTACACCTCTGTATAGGCCCTTGATTCCTTCGCCGCTGTATATTTGCCGCATGCCATCGACGGCGTTTCGGTAGTTGTGTTGTGTGCCGACGGGTAGGAAGGGCGAGTAGGATTGTAACCGCGTCTTTACGAGGAAGAAGGGAGAGCCGGCTGCTGCGCCTAGAATACCGGATGAAGCGCCTGCGAAGAGGTTGATGCCGAAGGATTGGACGGCTGGGTCGCTGTATACGACATTGGTGAGGGTCTTGCGGATGGGTTCGTAGAAGCCTAGTCTGCAGCCGTTGAGGGTCATTTGGTAGATGTACTGGGCGCGTCAGTTTCTGCTCGTTCCGGAAACATGTGCCAGACATACTGCGCATCCCAGACCGCGTAGTAAACCTCTGGGTCCTTCATTCTTCAAGATGACGCTCACACCGTGGAAGACGCCCTTGTATAATCGCGGCGCGTCGCTTTTCGCTTTAAGCTCGCCTTGTAGTTGTAGTCTGGGCGATCGTCAACGAGCTGGTCGCGCAGGTGCTGCGAGCGAAGACGCGCACCGGATTTTGACGGTCTCGAAGCCGTGGGTTACTGTGACTGCACCGCATGCTGCTATGCCGCCGGCTATGAAGGAGCTGGTGGGGGTCATCGTTAATACAATTAATACTGTGTTTGAATTTTATACTGAGTACCTACCCGAGGGTTGTAGACATTCTCACACTCTATGCGACTCTTCGGCGCGCAAGTCGGAAGTATGGTGGAGTGCGTATTCGATAGTGGTAGCGACGTGGGTTACCGCGCGATCATGAACACGACTGGAGGATAGTTGTAGGAATTAGGGATGGAAGTAAGACTAGGCGAAACCGAAGCTATACACGTCTTGCGGTAACAATGGCAATGGTGAGGAAATGTCAAGGTGAATATGAATAATCGTTCCGGTTTCGGCTCGGCATGGCCAGCTACGTAAGACCGCTCGGACCCACTTCTTTCCATATGCTGCAACTCTTCAGCGCATTCCGCCGGCTCTAATTGTCCACGTCGCGTCGCGTGCTTGAGTTTACGCGCCCGCTGATTCGCCGACTGAAGAGGTGGAGATGAACGCAGCTGTCGCAGCAGAGGAATAGGAGCTCAACTCGACCATGGCTGGCTCAGCGACACCCGGCGGCGGGCCTCCACCGCCGCCTGCAGGCCCGCCGACACAGAAAGTTGCCGACGTCATAACGAGCTTCCGGCCGCAAAGGGTGAGACTAATATGCTATGCCTTTGCATATATCCAGTACTAACGCCTTGTAGCGCTTCAAATCGGGCGGCCAGGGCACCTCAGTAACATCCCTCGACTTCGACGACTCGGGCGAACTAGCTATTGTCGCACGCGACGACGATACCCTCCAGATTTACAACTGCAAAGAAGGCAAGCACGCCAAGGAGCTCAAGAGCCAAAAGTACGGCGTACACCTTGCGCGCTTCAGCCACCATGCCCAGAGCATCATCTGCGCGAGTACAAAGATCGACGACACCATCCGCTTCCTCTCCACACACGACAACTCGTACATCCGCTACTTCAAGGGCCACACCGACACCGTCACCTCAATCGCCCTGTGTCCGTCCAAAGATGACTTCATAAGCTGCTCGAAAGACAACACGGTGCGGCTATGGAACCTACAATCCCCCAACTACGTCGGCATGCTCAACCTCCACGGCGCCTACCTCGCCGCCTACGATCCCTCCGCGACCGTCATCGCCATCGCGTCACCGCCTACCCAGAACGTCCTCCTCTACGATATGCGCAACTACGATAAGCCGCCGTTCGCAACATTCGACTTGCTCGAGGCGGAGCAGCGCTTCATGGGCGGACAAAAGGTCGAATGGACCAAGATTGAGTTTACAAACGACGGAAAGAGTCTCGTCGTCGCGACAAATGGTAGCGGACATTTCGTGCTAGACGCCTTCTCGGGCGACCTGACGCATTTCTGCTACCGCAAGGCTGGTTCCTCGGGACGTCTTCCGCCCAGCGCATCGGTCACCAACAAAACCGGTGCCAAGTCCGATGGCAGTGGTCCTGCAAACGGACAGGGTGACGTGTGTCTCACACCAGACGGCAAGTTCCTCATTGGAGGTAGCGGCGAGGACGGTCTCTTGGTGTGGGATATTTCGAAAGCACCAGCGCCGAACAATATGCTCGAGCCTATGGAGAAACTACCGGGACAGGGAAAGAGCGCTGTTGTTGGATATAACCCGAGGACCAACCTGCTGGCGAGTGCGGATAAGGACTTGTATCTTTGGCAGCCGGATCCTGATCTGATGATCTGAGACACTCGTATCAAGGATAGAGTCGCATTGGAGGCGAACTTCAGCACCACGAGAGAAGCAACGACACGGGAGATACGTTGCTGAATGAAGAATCACCAGAAGAAGAGACCAGCTGTACATCCAGCACACTTCTCACACCAACGAAGCAGTGTGAACGATCTTCGCACTGAAGACCATTTACTCTCCGGGTTGACCAAAGTATAGGGAAGAGAAAAGGTGCTCGTGGAGGAGGACTACGTGGAAAACAAGAGAGTGAACTCGTTCTGAGACTAGACTGTGTAGCGCAAGTAGTTGAGCAACCTTGGAATCTATGTCTTACCAGCAGTCATTGAGGTGAGCCGAGATATCACATCTATTCGCTTCCTGACGAACCCAATTAAAAGACTTTTGATAATGGAATGAGAGCATTCGTTGATACGGCAACATGATGATCAAGATCATATTGTGAAGTGGGCATTGAGCAAATCCACCTTTCATCTAACATCTCAAAGTGCCCAATCACCCGCAAATCATATGAGCATGCATCGTCGGACACATGTCAATGCACATGATAGCCAAACCCTCTGCTGGAGCATTTCTCCGCTACCGACTTACCATGATCTCAAATACCCTTCTCTCATCTTCGCTCTAATTACCCTTTCGGGCTCTACTATCCATCGCTCACCGTTCAGTCGCCAATTGCCAAGAGCGGGACGGGACTGTCCTCCCCCCTCGGCCCACTCCACCGACCAACACAGCACAATCGCCCGCTACTGTATACTCGCGGATCCTGATCGACTTAAAAGCTCATAGCAAGCTTTGTCCCGCAAATCGCATCTCGAGGAAGTGTGTTGCGGAGGAGCTTCTCATTGGTAATTCCACTTAGACTAGGTGGGTGGTGTACCCATCGCGATGTTGTGTAGGTGGCGTCCATATTGCTTATTCTCTCGGTAAAATGAACGAGTTTTCCTTCAAACGACGCACGCTGAGCCTCATCTTCATGCATGGCGCTACGGATGCGGGTTGGGCTGGGCTGTCATGCGTTGCGTGAATTTTGTTGTTCAAGAGGAAGGAGCGTCAGTGTTAGGCCACCACCCTCTTTTTACAACAGACAGCAGCACAAAAAGAGAAGGCGAACATGGAGGTCGCCGATGTGCGAGCTTGAGCATTAGTCTTTTGGACACGTCGAACGAGACGAGCGAGATGAGGGCTCGTGACGACTTGCAGATTTAGGATGGTGTGGGCGAATGAGATGAGTGTGCGTGTGTGTTGTGCAGCAGTGCGGAGTGCAGCGTGTGCTGCAGATGCGGTGTAAGCTGGAGTGCAGCACTGGAGAAGGGGAAACGAAACGTAAGGTTGTTACACGAGCAGACGGAGCACGACATTGTGAGGTGGCTGTTGTTCGTGAAGCGCCGTGGTCCGCAGAGGCGAAAGGTGTTCTCCGCGGGCAGAGTTGCTGACATCAAGACAGTGAGATAGATGCTAGAGCATCGACGATCGCATGTGAAGGAAGGAGGCATCGCGCATACATCTCTACGTAGGTTGGTTGGCCTTTGAGCGGTCTGCTTTTACGATGGGATCTTTGAAATTGCTGCCCAGTGATCCAGGCATCTTCGTCAAGCCATCGAAGCGACTGCCCCGCTATTGGGCGATCGTAAATCCCATGTCGTGCAGCTCAGCTCGAGGGGAGCCGAATGCGTCGCACAACCCCAGGGTTCTCGGATCGTCGGTGCCCTAGACCCTGTCAGACTGTGCCTCGGACATGGAATCTGTCATTCGCTGCGAAGTGGTTTCGTCTGATGGTGTACGCGCGTGTTGCTGTCATCTGTCTGCCTTCGACAAGGTCAAACCCAGCGCTGCTCGAGTGATGACATGGCCGCAAACTCTTCCTGCTCGATGGCGGATGGCAAAAAGCGTGATGGTGCTTTCGTTGGCTGCAGCTGGA